GAGAACAATGAGACTGGGTTCAAGGAAGGGTTCCCAGGGGTGTCTGGGTGCTGGCAAGCATTCTATTTCTTGAGCTGAGTGGTAGATGTATGACTACATATACATTTTAATGTACCTTGCTATGTTTATATTATATTTCACAAAAAAAGATAAAAGGTAAAAATAATTTTATAGTAAAGAAATGAAAACACTGTGGAAAATAACACTAGTATACATCATAGAAAAATGGAATAAAGCATTCACAGCCCCCCCCCTTGTTTTTTACTTTAGTCAATAAAGATGTCAGTAAAGATGGCTTTGCCATGTGAGTTGTTTACTTGAGATCACTGTGCTGAAAGGTTTGCTGAGGATGTATATTTGAGGTCAGCAACAAAATAATGCTACTTTATTTTTACAGTTGATTCTTATATAACCATCAATGTTTAATCCTTTTTAGTCAGATGTTGAGCCCCATGCATTGTGATATGATTCCTCAATAATTGAACTTGAAAAATATGCTAACAAGTGCTATCTAAAAATAGAATACAAAAATAAATAATAAAAATAAAAATAGAATACTAGAGAACTCAGGATGGAAGTGTTATAATTAGATAACCATTATGATAAATAAACTCAAAGTACAGTTAATTGTCCAAGTAGAAATTTTAGTCTATTTCCTTACAGGCTTATCTAACTTCCTCATAGGACTTTATAGTCTTTTTTGAAGTAAAACCCTCTTCAAAGTCAAAAGTGGGTCAGAATTTCATGTATTCAACCTGGCTCCTAATATAGACATATTATTTCACTTGATTTTCATATTGTATATCATCAAAACCAAAATCCAATTTGCTACTACTTTCTTCATTTCTTTTGTAGTTTCATCTGTAGTTGAATCTTGGACTACTTTCAACATTTTCTATCTTTTCTGGAACAGAATAACAATATCTTCTTTTCATATTACCCAAAACACATGTAACAAGGGCCACAAATTATGTAAATAAGAACTCTTCAGTGTCTTTTGTAAACATTTAGGACTTTTTTTTTTAAGGTTTTGGTAACAATTTGTACTGCTTTATTGTACATACTACTTGATAATTTCTTTGTAATACTGATGTGAAGTTTTGTTACTATTGAGGTTAGATGTATTCTCATACCTCTAAGGCCTAAACCAAGTCATGTTTTCCTTCTAAGAGCTTACCACTGCGGATGCTACCACCTCTTGCCAGAAGCAGGGAAGATGCAGAGAAAATAAACTCCCTTCAAGTTTCTCAGCAGAGAACAGACAACCCTTGCTGCATTAGCAGTCACTAGGAAGCTGTGTCCAGAGACTGCCCGGGGAATCCGACAGAAGAGTTTCTCTCTGCTTTACCCAGGGATGCAAAAACCTGGTCTAAAATCATTCCATGGCTTATAGCCCAACCATCACGAGGTCCACAGTCATTCCATGGCCTGACAGTCTAGCCATCAGAAAAACAAAAACAAAAAAGGTAGAATCAGAGCTTGGGCCCTGAGGCAGTGACACAGGGGTATCCCTCTGTAAGAACACATTTGGGGGTAGGGAACAGGAAGCTGAGTGCCCTTAAAACTGCTCAAACTGCTAAATTCCTTTTGCCTCTATTGCTGACATTCTCTGGAACTAGACCTTTTAACCAACAGGCTCATCAATTCTAGGGAACTATGAACAGACACAGTTGGGGCCTCAAACTATAGCCAGGGCACTGTAGGGAGAAGCTGTATAAATACAGTATAGAAGATAAAACTCTTCTTCCTCAAGCTTCATCTATTATAGACATATAAGTATTAATGGAACAGGAGTACACAGAAATAAAACATCTTTCTTACATCGTGAAAGTTCCTGATTATGTGTGTTCTTAAAAAAAACCACACACACACACACAATCTTTTACAATTCGAATAGACTGCATGCTGACAACCAGTCTTTCACTTCCCTGTGAATTTGTTCTTCATGTCTTTCATTCTGTGACTTTAGTGCAATCAATCTCAGCTAAAGATAGAGAAGATAGGTATAAGATGGACAGGTAGTTTGGGGAATACCTCAAGAAGACAGGGATGAAGATGGCCTGCTGCAGGAGAGGACTGTGGGTTAAGGAGACAAACACAGAGGTTCTAGGAGTATGGAATCAGGATTGGATCAGAATGTTTGATCTGCAATGCTGCTGAGGCTAGCCTTGCCCTTTCTTCTATGGATCAAAGAGGAAAGGCATGGACCACATCACTTAGAAATGAACCTTTGCTCAGAGAAGAAGGATCATCTACTTAAGTTGTTCAAAGGAGTTTGGAGTAATAGGGAGAGAACATGTTAGGAAGGATGTTAGCAGGCTGTTCTCATTGTAAGCCGTGTGTGCTCACATAGAGCAGGCAGCTTCTAGCTGTGGGCAGTCCATACCACCGGAAGCAGAGGGAGCATTCCTTGGACAGAACACCTCACAGATCTCCTATGAGCACTTGCCCTGCCCCTCCCCTCCCCTCTGTTGTCTTAGTGCTATGAGCAGACTCTGGACTGTGGCAAGTACATGCCTACTTGTAAATACACAGTGCATTACTTTTCTGTGCTATATAACAAAGTATCGCACACTAATAGGCTTAAAGTGACACTCATTCATTATCTTACAATTCTGTAAGAGTGGCTGGTTTATTTGCTCAGGGTCTCACAAGGCAGAAATCAAGGCATCAGCAGTTTGTCTTCTCATCTGGAACTTAAAGTCTTCTTCTAAATGCATTCATTCATGGTTGCTGGCAAATTTCAGGCTACTTTTAGTTTCTTGACATATGGCCCCTCCATTTCTAAAACCAGCACAAAGAAACCCCCTTCCATCAAATATCTCCCTTGCTTCAAATCTCTGACATTTCTGTTTCTGATTGCTAAAGCCAGATTTAAAAGGTTCATGGAGTAGGTCAGGCCCCCCAGATAATTTCTCTATCTTAAAGGTCAATTGATTTGGGGTCTTAATTACAGTTTCAAAATCCTTTACAGCAACATCTAGATTAGTGTTTGATTGAATAACTGGTAGAAGGTGTATGTAGGTACATTAGAGGCCAAAAATTTAGTGGACTATCTTAGAATTCTGCCTATCATAAACAGCATGACTACTTGCCTGGACAGGTAATATTTAAAAATAAAAGAAAGATTTCCAAATGCCTGTCAGTGCTGGTCCTGTTTGTTTCCATTATCAGCTGTCCAAAGACATAAGCAGGGCCAAAGGGGACACAGTGAAGTATTTATAGATAAACCAAGCTGAAGCAAGCATACAGCTGTTCTCTGTGCTGCTGCAGCAGAACTACTGACTGTCCATATTTTAGAATAGTCTGAGGCTCAAAAGAATTAAGCAGCAGCAGCTATGAATTAGAGGCTAGCTTGGAAAGCAAGCTGCAATTTTGTGGTCAATGGCAAGTTCCCTACACCACAGAAAGATGACACTGCATTGCCAGGAAACAGCTGAAGAAATGGCTTAGCAACTGCCCTTAGACAAACCTTATGAATGACAGTGACATAGCACTCTGTTAAGCATAGCTTTTGACAGGAAGTTGGGCCAAATCAATACGCTGTACTCTGTACCACTCAATTACCACAAAATTCTATCACCTCACACATATTTTAGATTAAAGGCTGAGCTGGGGTCTCGGTGAAAAATCTTTTATGGAAAGATTGAACAGGTAGAAACTGAAAAGCTAAGAGGTACCAAGAATCTCTTTAGAAAAGAGGGTCTATTTGATTTTCTTGGATACTAGAAAGTCACTAGGAAAAAGTGCCTTTCATAGACCGAATTTATTTTGACAACAAAGACTTCCATTTTTTGTGACATTCTATTCAAGGTCCTTTTTTTAAAAAGCCATTTTTAAGTATCCATTTTAAACTTCATATTTGAAAGCAAGACTTTCTACACTTAATAATTATATAAACCAAAGAATTCAGTAAACCAAATTTCTACCCAAAACTTTTACAGTCTGTAATAAATGATTGAAAAAAGGAGTTGTTATGGAAACAGAACAACACTTCAAAGCATTGGCATAAACACTGGGGGAGGGGGGAGAGGGAGGGGAGATGTTGGTACCCAGATTGGATCAATGATTGTTACAGAGAAGGGAGAGAAGAAGGGAGGAGGGATGGGGAAGAGTAGGGGAGGTGAGGGAGGAGAGAGAGTAAAAGTAGTATTAAACAATAAATTTAAACAAAAAGAATGAAAACAAAGAAAGACCTATTTTGAAGAAAGTTAATTTGATCAGTTTATTGTGAAATAAATTCTAGAGGACAGTAGGGATGATCAGGTAGCGAGAAGAGTCACTACAGGGGTCTAGAAAAATATAAGAAAAATTCTAGTTGCATCCTTGCTAAAGGACATGGAACTGTTTAGATGTCATGAGTAATAAAGAATCTAACTCCACTTTTGATATGTAATTGCTGACAGTTTTCAAGCCTCATTGACACCCCTTTACCATAAGCCCCACAAATGTTCAAACTAATGAGAAAGACTGCACACTCCTTTGAAGCTAGTGAGAAATTCAAACCATGAGAGCTCAGCCCAGCCTTACTTCCTAACAACAATAAAAACCAAGCTAGTCTCCGTTCTCTGCTCTCTCAAGTCATTTTCAGACTTGCTTGGGATCCTGCCATGGTTTCCCTGGAAGCTTCATTATGTGAGTATAATAAACTTTTCATACTCTCTTGGTGTATATACATGTGTGACATCATCAGTCTTGGTATCTGAACCAAATTTTGGGTGGGGATCCTTCTCACCTCTGTGGGGTTAACATAATACCATGGAAGCAAAGAGAAGGCAGTTTCTACCTCTGCTAGGCAGACTGGGGGGAAGCTTGCTTTACATAGGAGGGCTATACTCTATAGCAGGCGTCCTCAAACTACAGCCCGCGGGCCACGTACGGGTGTTTTGCTCGTTTATTTTTTTACTTCAAAATAAGATATGTGCAGTGTGCATAGGAATTTGTTCATAGTTTTTTTTTTAAACTATATATCCGGCCCTCCAACGGTCTGAGGGACAGTGAACTGGCCCCCTGTTTAAAAAGTTTGAGGACCCCTGCTCTACAGTGTTGAACTTCCTTAGGAATTCAACAGGCCAAGGAGGTTATGGACTTCAACTGGAACAGCTACCAGCTGAAAGAGTACAATTTCTCTTTGTCTGGATGAAAACCAGATAAACACAGGGATGGCAGCAGGAAAGTGTTCATTGCCAGATGCCCTCCTTGTCTGCCTGATAGACACCTGACCCAAACCAGGCTGATCATTCTTCTGCACTGAGATTTTGCATACTAAAGAAAAAGAAGCTAGTGCTTCCCGATGGAGGAAGGATATAGAATGCAAGTCTGAAGAGCAGTCAGTGGATTTCTGCCCATCACCGTAGGAAAAAGATACTGGCAGTGAGAGAATATCCCAATATATAGTGAGGCAAAAATAAGAGACAGAAGAATCTTGGTGGTGTTAGATAAAGTGGATCCTGTTGTCCTCAGGTGCCAGCTACACTTTCTGCAGATACATTACAGTCCTTAGTATTCCTTCCAAAATATTCTTCATGCCTCAACTAGTTTCAGTTAAATTTCTATCATTTACAACCGAATAACTACACCCTGACCAAAACAGATGGATTAAAGAACTCTGTAATTACTGTTGATTTTCTTACATTATCAATAATGGTACTATAGTTATATAGAATGTCCTTATACAGTTGACCACTGTGGGGATCCACTTATATGCAGATTTTCTTCTGCCTCTGCCACACCTGTGACAGCAAGACCAACCTTTCCTCTTCCTCTTCAGCCTACTCAACATGAAGACGTTAAGGATAAGAGATCCACTTCCACTTCCTTATGATTTTTTCTTTAGCTTACTTTACTGTAAGAATACAGTATGTAATATGTATTACATAAAAAATACCTGTTGATCAACTGTTATTAGTAAAGCTTCTGATCAACAGTGGCCTATTAGCAGCTATTTGTTTTTGGGAAGTCAAAAGTTATATGCAGATTTTCAGCTGCATACCCCTAACTTCTGCGTTGTTCAAGGGTCAACTGCATGTGGAAATGAATGCTAAAGAATTAGGAATGAACTAACATGAGGTCTGCTACTTTTAAATGATTCAAAAAACAAAATATATAAAGAAATAGGGCAAAAATGTTAACAATTACTAGGTTTAAGAGTATATTAGCTATTCTTTCTACTTTTCAGTATGTATGAAATGTTCCACAAAAAAATTCTTGTTAGAGGGGAGACTCTCAAAGTATGAACAACATGCCCAGAACTTTGAAAGATTAGTGATTTCAGGAAATGGTACACAGTTTTCCACAGGTATGGTGGGCATATAAGGAAGGTAAAAGGTAGAAATTTAGCATTTATCCTGAAGGCAGTAGGAAACCATTAAAGGATTTTTTGAGGAGTGGGGAAAATGACATGATCAGATTTTGATATTAGAAAGATCTCTGTTGACAGTATGAACCACAAGTTGGAAAATGGCAGGCATGTGTTAATAGTCTAGATAAGATATGATGAGGGCCTGAATTAAGAGGAGAAAGATAAGCAATGAGTATTAGAGAAGAGCAGACATGAAAAACTGATAGACTTTCTTTCAGTAATGGATTTTCAGGGGGAAGGGATAGAATGCTTTGAGGGAAAGAAAAGAATCCAGGAAGCCTCAGGATTCTGGTTTTGGTGACTACATAGTACTATTCACAGAGAAGGGAGATATGGAACTATGAGCAGGACACACTGAGTTTAAGGTGGTGCTGGAGATGTGAGGTGAGCGATTAAGGGCCATACAGATTGGGAAATCATAGCCATATGCCAAGGGCATGGAGGAGATCACTCAGTAAGAAAGTGTAGACTGGTAGGTTGAAATGGGGTGAGGAAAAAAAAAGCAGCCACAATTAGAGAAGAGGCAGAGGAACAGAAGCCCTTTAAAGAAACTAAGAAAAAACCACCTCAGACACCAGAGGAAAACATGGAGAGTGGTTCACAAGGATAGAGGTGGGGGCAAATCTGAGAGGGAGGAAGAGGTCAGCAGTGCCATGTACTCTCCAAGAGATCAAGGTGTCATCTAACAAAAAGACCTAAAGTAGGGCAGTTCCAGGTTTGTTAATTCAGCCGTTCAACAATATTATCAAGGTCACAGGTTCTTTCTATATTTCCATTCTGTTAGACAAACTGCCCTGGTTTTGGTGACTGTGTGGTACTAGCCCTCAGACTAGCAGCCCCACTGACTGCAGGATGGTTGCCATCGTACCCCAGGCATCACAAGCAGACAACATCCAGCATGGAAAAGGGGTGGTTTTTTTTCCCCTCGTGTCTCTTTCTAGAGTGAAAAAAATCCTTCCACAGAAACACCTCAGTAGACCTTCCCTCATCCTACTGGGCAGAACTTGGCCACATCCACCCCTGAATTGATCATGGGCAAGAATAATGAGATTATTATAACTGACTTAGATCAATCAGGATTTACCTGTGAGCTAGAGATAGGTCACTTTGCTTAAACACTGCATAACTGAAAAAACTGGGGCTATGGTAACAAAAAAAGAAAGGAGGGATGGATAGATGTTGAATAGGTAACAGGCAAGAGGGACCATTCTGTACTGTGGTATTCTAATGTGATTTTTCTTCACTTAGTAATATTCATTTAAGAAAGAGCAGAGATTAGTGGAAGCACAAAGAAATGCAGTTAATGGAGGGAAAAAATTCAATTGACAAGTTTTATATTTCTGAGAATAAAATAAATAAACATATAATAACTTTAAAAGAAGATGTCCTAAACATCTGACTTCATTTAGCAATCAGTTACCTCCTGAATATATGCATATAAGATGCATAGAAAAAGGAATTGAAAGATAAAAGCTCAAACTTATTGTTTCTAGTTGGCTAGATTATTGGTAATTTTTTACTTCTTTCTCCTGATGAGTAGTTTAAAAGAAAATTTTTAAAAATTGACACAATAATTATAAATATTTATGGGGCACATAGTGATGTTTTCATATATATATATAAAATGTATAATGATCAGATCAGGGTAATTAGCACTTCATCATCTCAAACCTTTATCATTTGTGTTGAGAACACTCAATATCCTCCTCCTGGCTATTTAAAACTGTGTGTTATTGTTAACTGTAGTCATCTTATAGTGGTACAAGAACACTAGATCTTATTCCTTCTATCTAGCTGTAATTTTATACCCTTTAACAAATCCCTTCCTAATACCCCCCTTCCTCCCTACATTTCTCAACCTCTAGTGTCCCCTATTCTACTTTTTGCTTCTATGAGATCAACTTTTTTTGCTTCCACATATGAGTGATGACATGCTATGTTTAACTTTCTGTTCCAAGCTTATTTCACTTACCATAATGTCCTCCAGTTTGACCCATGTAGCCATGAATGACAGAATTTCATTCTTTTTTTATGGTTGAATAAGTCCATTGTGTATACATACCACATTATCCATTCATTTGTTGTTGGACACCTTATCTTGGCTATTGTGAATAGTGCTGCAATAAACATGAGGGTGTAGATGTCTCTTCAATATTCTGATTTCCTGTCCTTTGGGTAAACGTCCAATAATGGGATTGCTAGGTCATATGATACTTCTATTTATAGTTTTTTTGAGGAAATTCCAAAATGTTTTCCATAGTGCTTGTACGAGTTTACACTCCCATCAACAGTGTATAAGAGTTGCCTTTTATCCATATCCTCACTAGTATTTGTTACTTTTTGGCCTTTTGGTAATAGCCATCCTAACGAGGGTGAGATGATACCACATTGTGGTTCTGATTTGCATTTCCCATTCTGATTAGTGACACTACATTTTTTCATATACCTGTTGGCTATTTATATGTCTTCCTTTGGGAAATGTCAAGTCAGGACTTTCAGTCACCTTTAAAGCATATTATTTGTTTTTTTGCTATTGAGTTCCTTACATATTTTAGATATTAATATGTTATCAGATGTATAGTTTATAAATATTTTCTCCTATTCTGTAGGTTGTCTTTTCACTCTGTTGATTGTTTCCTTTGCTGTGCAGATGCTTTTTAGTTTGATATAACCCCATTTAAAAAACTTTTGCTTTTCTTTCCTGTGCTTTTCATGTCTTATTCACAAAATCTTTCCCCAGACCAATGTCCTAAAGCGTTTGTTCTATGTTTTCATCTAGTAGTTTTTAAATTTTTATTTCAAAACATTAAGAAGGTACAAATGTTTTTGTTACATGAATACTTTGTATAATGCTTAAGTTGGGGCTTTTAGTGTGCCATCACCAAAACAGTGTTCATTGAACCTAACAGGTAAGCTTTTATCCTTCACCCCCTGCCATCCTCCTCTCTTCTTGGTTTCCAATGTCCTTTACATCTCCTTGTGCCCATGTGTGCCTACTGTTTAGCTCTCAATTATTAGAGAGTACATGTAGTGTTTGTTTTTCCATTCTTTAGATACTTCACTTAGGATAATGGTCTCTAATCCTACCCAAGTTGCAAGACATTATTTCATTCCTTTTTATAACTGAGTAGTATTCCATGGTATGTATATATGTGTGTATATATAAATATATACACACATACATATACACACATTTTCTTCATCCACTTGTGAATTGATGGCCACTTAGGTTGATTCCACATCTTTGCAATTGTGAACTGTGCTGTGATAAACATTCGGGTACAGGTGTCTTTTTTGATAAAATGACTTCTTTTCCTTTGGACAGATACGCAGTAGTGAGATTGTTGGATCAAATGGTATGTCTACATTTCTTTTATTTTTTGCATGACAGTCTTTACTTTTAAATGATTATCAGCATACCAAGTAATAACATGTAACAAATTCCTAAATTCTATCATCTACTAACTTTGAGTAAGAGAAACTAAAAGCAGCACAAACAACTTCATTAGTATTCACTGTTCTAATGACTAGCAGAAATGGGCTACTTTCAGGCTAGCTGCTACTCCACAAAGGTTACAAATAACTGCTTAATACTTTTTCATAGATAAAGCCCCTGGCCTTTAAGAAAGCATTAGGGAAAAATTATAATACTTAATCTCTTTCTTTCTTTAAAGAATTGTTTTTTTAAATTAGATATAAGAAAAAGTTAACATTGATATGTATAGTGCTTGAGCTAAAAGGCATAGGAAAACAGATAACACATGCCCATTAAAGTTCTAAGAAATATGAGGTAAAAAGATGAAATCTTTAGATGAGTTCTAAGTATGTACAAAGAAACTAGATTTTCTACTCCCCAAGGAGTGAAGGGACTGAATATAATATAAAGAAATAATCTAATGCCTTTCTTAACAATATAACTTGAGATTTGCTAAAGCTTCATATTCCATGAGTGCATCTAAAATGCCAATCCATGGAACAGGTGCGTCTTCCCTCTCCTATCTATTTATGCAGTAGTTTTCATGGATTTCTGGCCAGATGTCACATACAAAGGCCAACACTCTTTTGATGAAAGTAGGTCTGGAGGATGGTCATCCTCTCCTGGGTCTCCTTCTCCACTTCAGTGCTGCAACTGCTATGAGATCCCAGTGGTGCAAGTTCCTTGGCCTTGAACTCACTCTTTCTCTGCAGGTGGTACTGTTCAGTTTCAGCCTAAGCTTCTTCTAGGGCCTGCTTCAGCCTCTGGATCTATCATTTGTGGGCCCTGGACACTTGTTGGTGGCTTCTCAGCCTGCAGCAGCTGCTATATCCCCTGCATCTGACTAGCCATGGCAGAGGTGAATCTGAAAACAAGGACAGTGGCTCAAAGTGGCTCAAAGGCCCCTGGGGTGAACTGACCCAGCTGCCCACAATCTGCACCTGCCAGTAGGTCTACATTTATTTCTTTGGGGAATCTCTATACCATTTTCCATGAAGTTTATACTAATTTGCAGTCCCACCAACAGCACATAAAAGCGTTCCCTTCTCTGTACTCCTACCAGCATCTATTATTTTTTGATTTTTAGTAATGGTCATTCTGACAGAAGTAAGGTGGTATCTCATTGTGGTTTTGATTTGCATTTCGCTGATGATTAGTGATGTTGAGTATTTTTTTCATGTTTATTGGCCACTTGTCTATCTTCTTTTAAAAAACTTCTGTGTCTTTTGCACATTTTTTAATAGGGTTGTTTTATTCTTGCTAATTCGTTTGAGTTCTTTGTCAATTCTGGATATTACCCTTTTATCAGGTGTATAGTTTACAAATATTTCCTCCCATTCTGTAGGTTGTCTGTTCATTCTGTTGATTATTTCCTTTGCTGTGCAGAAGTTTTTGATTTAATTAAATCCTATTTATTTTTGTTGTTGCTGTATTGGGGGGAGGGGGAGGTCTTAGGCAAATTCTTTGTGTAGGCTGATGTCCAGAAGAGTTTTTCCTGTATTTTCCTCTAAAATTTTTATAGTTTCATGCCTTACATTTAAGTCTCTTATCCATCATGAATAAATTTTGGTATATGGCAAGAGATAGGGGTACTGTTTCTTTATTGTGCATGTGGCTACCCAGTTTTCACAGCACTATTTATTAAACAGGGCTTCCTTTTCCTAGTGTGTGTTGTTGTCTGCTTTGTCAAGATCAGCTGGATATAGGTAGATGGTTTTATTTCTGGGTTCTCTATTCTGTTTCATTGGTCTATGATTCTACTTTTATAGCAATATCATGTTGTTTTGGTTATTATAGTCTTGCAGTACAATTTGAAGTCAGGTAATATGATGCTTCCAGATTTGTTCTTTTTGCTTAATTAAGATCGGTTTGGCTATCTGGGCTCTTCTTTGGTTCCAAATGAAGCACA